TTAATATAAATGGAATAGCGTTTTTTATTTGATGTTTTATTGGTCATTAAAGAAAATAATATTAGCCAGTCACTCTACCAGAGCCACTCGATTTTTTTTGTATTTAATATTTTTCATCGAACATTTCTTTGGTATTAAAAAAGTTTTGGAACTGAAAAAAATTTTGTTTTATATTTGGTAATTTTATTCAATAGTTTGTTAGTTTATTTAATTATTTTACTGCATTTGTAACTCTGCTGTAGTACATCTATGAAGTTTAATAAAATTGTTTAATTTATTTGATTTTACTTAATAATGGCCTTGATTAATTATTAGAGAAACAGCAGATCCCTGGGCCATTTTCTTTTTAGTCTACGTCGAGCAGCTAACAAGGAGGAGGAAATTGATAGAACGAGTGAACTGAATTAAGATGATTTTGAGTTAAAGAATGAAATTTTATTTGCCGTGGATGTAATATTTTATTATTGGAATGTTTAAATCGTTATGTTTAGAATTGTTTAAAACACCAACATATAAATATCAGGGATAACAATTTAATAACAGTCCTCTTTACTATTCATTGGAATGACTAAAATAAATAATTAATTATGAATATTAATTGAAACAAATTTTTAGCTTTTCTTTAGTGGCTCAAATAAATTTTCGTCCTTTTCGAGTTATTTTCTGTTCTTGGAAATCTGTTTTTTCTAAAAAATTTTATGGTAAGAATTTTATTTTATTTAATAGACGGATACATAATAATGTTTTGATAATTTTTGTTACTGAAAATAATATTATTTTTTATATATTTTTTGTATAATTAATTATAAAAAAAAATGTGTTCTACTTTTGCAAATCGAACAACTTATTCGAAGGAAAATATATGACTATTATAAATATACTCCCATAGGATAGTAAGAAATTGTTAGTTAATTTGATGATGGCAAAAAAATATTTAAAATGTTTTTTCGAAAAGTAAATAAAGATACGTATGTTTACACAGTTTCTACATAATTTTAAATAAAAAACAGGTTGTTTTAAGGTGGATTCGTATCGAAATGTTATAACTAACATTATTATTTGCAAAATGTATATGAAATTTTTATAATTAACAATTAGATTTAACGTCATTATCCACACTGGTCAGATGTGAAGTGTTATAAATACTTTTAGAGTAAATATTTCAAAATGTTTTTAATATCTTTTTTTAAAGAATTTATTTCTAGTGTAAACCCATTAGAAATCATTTTATGTAGTTATCTATAACGTATTTTATATAATTCATAATATATTATAAATTTGTTTTCCTTACTAACGAAGATATGTATTTTTAATTACTTCTGATATTATTAGTCCTCTTCTCAAACAATAAGTAAGGCATTGTATTTTTATGCTTCGGTTTTCGGATTCGATTCACCAGGCTTGGATCGACACTGTCGAAGGGATTGAAAAATCCTCTTAGGGCGCACCTAGCTTCTATAAGGTGGGTGCTCTTAATTAACTGATTGATTAGGGGGAAAAATCTGGCGGTAGAGTGTGATTTGGGTGTAATCACCTCCCTCAAGAACCATTGGTCTTGAAAGTTCTTACGAAGTACTGAATCCAAGATTTTTTAATTTATTTTTTAATCTGCAAAAATATATAATTTTTTCTTGTTGTTTTAGTAATGTTTTCAATTATACCAGAATCATCGTTACTAAACTTATCTAGTGATTTCGTTCCCAATCTTATTGCATTAAAATAATAATAGTGCATATTGAACAACATAAGGAATTTATATAAAAAAAATAAAAGAACGATCACAAATAAAGAGAAAGAAGGCAACTAAGCTACTCGAAGAAAACACAACACTTCACAGTTTACGACGTAATCAGTTCTGCCTCCAAGTCTTATAAGTGACTTGATCTAGATGAAGAAACATAGATTAGACCGCGGGAAACGAGTTTGCTTTAAGTCGACTTCAATATGCTTAAATTTTATCGCTGCTCTCTGGTATTTAGTGATCGGGGTGCTCTATTGACTACAGTAATTCAGATTGATTTGCGGTTACTTTTTTTCAAGAGTCGCAGCTTAATGTATAGCTGCTGACTTATAAAAATTATTGGGGGAGGGGCCAATTTATAGGATCATGGGGTAGGGGACCATGGGAGGGTTTGGGTATTGTTTGGAATATATCCTATATGCATTCCACACATCCCCTCATATATTATTACAGTAAGGCTTGAAATCGGTTTTGTATCAAATATAAGCTCCTGTCAGGCTCAAATACCATGAATGGGGTACCGTTGGATTCAGAATTTCACGAGGGGGTTAGCGAATCGTATTCTCCACTTTTTTTTTTCTTTCTAAAATAAATAAAGTCGATACAAACATTTTCCTAGGCTTCAATACAGGAAAGTTGGTAAGTCTGTAGATCGATACGGGACAAATTGGACCTTGAAGATTTTGATGTGTACGGCGTTTTTAAGCCCAAAAACGTACTATTTTCGAGATAACGCAAGGCATAGGGTTCGCATCCACACAACCTTACATTAATTGTAGTACTGTCATTGAATACATGTCTCATTTCGTCGACTTGAGGCCTCTATGATCGAGAGAGGAGGAGTTTATATTATTTATCGATGGGGTTTTTGATCGACAAGCCATACCATCGTTAATTCTTCACCAAATCTCTAGATTGAGCCACCAATTTCGAAGGCTTCCTTCTCATTCAGGCGGGCATAATAGTCCAATCAACCCGAAAATTCAGGCAAACAAGTTATGAAAGAAAACACACTTTATTTGCGAATAACTAAAAAATTACACACTTTTCTCTTGGTTATTCCCATGATTATATAAAACATTACTAAATTGCCTACAAAAGGGAAAAAAATCATTGAAATCGGAGAATTGTTCGCAAAGATACAGCTTATTGAAATTTGTAAATATGTTGGTTCCAAACATTAATGAAGATTTAAAATAATATTTATTGATAAAGTAACGATTGATTTTTTTATCTTTTGATGTGTTGTATTTTTTTTCTTAATTATTAGGCATTTGAAAACAATATGCTGTGGGAATTTTTTGCACGGGCCTAGTAGTATATAATATTTGCCTAAATGAAAAATTACAATCTCAGACAAGTATTGAGCTGTTGAGACCTTCCTGATGACAAAAAAGTGTTAAATCACACAAAAACTTTAAACTAAAACAGTATAGTACTTTAATATACGATTCCTTGTACAGTTTATTTGAGTTTATGGATCTAAAAAGAGCACAGTTAAACAGTTTTACTATAAGTACTTGTAGATAGATAAAGTACTTTGTAACGTACACGATCGATATGTTCATGAAGTTCATACTATAGCAATTTGTTGGGGAGGGGGGCGCTGGGAGCCTATGCCCCACGAGGCACTAGTAGTAAGCACCTATGGCTTAATGTAATAAAGCATTTATCAATGAACTGCCAATTCAAATCGAGAATGAAGACTTAAATCATAATGAATATTCTCGATGTTTTATTTTATTTTTTTAAATACTAGACTTTATTTGGTTTAATATTGTCGAAATTTCAGTAAAATAATGAAAAATTTCAATCTAATTTTCTTTTATCTAAAACATGAACATATGAAAATCCATTTATCTCGTATCTGATAATAGAATAACAATAAAGCGACACAGTTTTAACTACACAGCTTCTCAAAAATATCGTAAGGTATACAATCAGACTCGTAGCCGTTTTGCTGTATATTTTTTTAAAAATGAACAAATATTAAAGTAAAATATAATATCAGATTTTCTTCGACGATAAGAAATTAAACTATACATAACTACTAAGTTGCGAAATTCGATAAACGAAACCGTTCAGTGATCGTGCGTGTCGAATATCGAATTCGTTCACTCGAAGAAAGCATTACATTTACAATGACAAGTTAGTCGAATAAAATCCTAGAACCAGTGGCGTATTTAGGGGAGGGGGCTTTCGGGCTGAAGCCGCCCCCCCCCCCAAAATGGTAAAACATAACCATATCTTATGAACAAAATACTTATTAATTACTTCTAAAAGTATTATTGTTAGTGCAATTACATTTAATAGTACTTAAATAATCACTTAAAACTCTATTTTATATAGGTAGTTAGTTTCTTTCATTTTCTTCCAAAGTAATCATCGTTATATATTAAAAAAAAAATTCGGGCTGAAGCCTCCCCCCCCCAAAAAAACAACTAAATTCTGGATCCACTAGTGGTGTGGGCAGGGCAAGGGCGAAGGGTGAATGAACACTATTATTTTTTCACAATATTTCTCCAATGCTTCTTCGGTGCATACTATTTATTTTCAAGTTTATTTCTTTTCAGCCATTTTACACCAATTTTCAAAATGTTTGTCAACTAAATGACTACACATCTGATTACGACGTTTCGGCTCGTTGTGCCATTTTCAAGTCTAAAATTTTTTTACAATTTACAGTCATATTAAAAACATTACATATTTCAACATATAGAGATTCTTTTTATATCTATCTATTTAGGGAAAGTAATGTTTTTGGTCAACCTTCTGCAGGGAGGGGATCGGACCAGGATCACTCTCAACCGCCAGGTTTTCTCCCTCAATCAATTATTTAATGGAGGGTACCCACTTTGTATAGACCCCAGGTTCGACCCACAGCCAATGAAACAAAGCAGAATAAATAAATTTTCTGCTATGAGCCAGGAATCGAACCTGGGACCTTGGGCTAAAAAGAAATTTGAGCTATAAGGTGAAGATTTTTATATAATGGTGAAGAAATATTTGATTCAAGGTGACATGGTTGAGAAGTTAGTAAAGGGTCTTAATGATTCCGAAACTCAAATAAAACTTTAATAAATTATTTATTTTTTACTCGATAAAATAATTTTATATTTATTTCTCACAGACTACAATGCCAACTTCTCAACAATTTTTTGTACAACAGAGCTTAATATTAAATAATTGTAGCCACATTTTTTTAAAAAATAATATTTACATTTTATTATAAATTTAATTTTTTTTTATTTTTTACAGAATGGAATTAAAAATTTATATATGTGCGGGAGTATTAGGCTTCATAGCCGTTGCACAGGCACAGATCCCAGGGTTAGGATGGTGCCCAGACAAAAGGGCCATGCCTGGATTCGACATTGATAAGGTATGTACTTCAATATAAATATTTATTTTCATATAAGTTCACATTAATGATTATTATTAGAAATAAAGCAAATATAAATCTTAGTCCAGTTTCAATTGTTAATGTTTAGTACTTAAATAAATACTTTATATTATAAATCCGGCCTACGAGTAAATGAAAACAAAACAAGATATATGATAATAAGCGGAAATTCCCCCTTCCTGAAAACAGGATCTGCATAGAAAGGAAATCGTTCCCGAGAGTAGGCAAATCAAATTTCTTGGCTCCACAATAATCCCAGTGAATGACCAACATTAAGAAATAGACCATTGTATAACTAGCGCAAGTATAGCTTTCTTCTCTCTTTCAAGGGTATAAAATACCAAAATAATCTCAAATTAAGGGTGTAAAATGCTATGACAAAGCCAGTTTTGATATATGGCTGTGAGACCTGAACAATTCTCTGCATGATAACTGAAGCGATCTGGTATCAGAGTAGTAACACATGCAGGAGAAAGATCAGTAAAGAACTGCTTACAGAAACTGGTCAATCAATATCCCATGATATGAATGCATGGAGGTTAAGATAGGCAGGACATGTAGCTCATAGAAATCCATCTGGAAGCCTCTACGTAACAATAAATACTTCAATAGAAGTCAAAAGACCACGTGGAAGGCCAAAAAGCAGATTGATAGATAGAATCAACAAAGATGCAATAGAGTTAAATGCAGAAAACTGGAAAGAAATAGCTGAAGACAGGAAGAGATGGAGCAGGTTTCTTAAGGCAGCAAAAGATCTGCAAGGCCTGTGTTGCTAAAAGTAAAAAAAAAAAAATAATAATAAATCTGACATATAAGATAGCTTAACGGAAAAGAACTTTTCTTTGTTACTGAACCCATGTCAAGAAAAAGAATGAAACATTAAATTTATTGGGACAGAAAATTATTAAGCTTTATTTATGTAAAATCTGTGGTTTATGCGGCACTTTATATTTTTATTTTTCTAAAAGAAAGATGAGCATCTAACAATAGTCAGGGGATATTGTTAATTTTTAAATTATTTGTTGTTACGATTTATTATATTGGCATAGCAAAATATATAATGATAATTAAAAGAAATATATCATCGGTTTCCTGCCTAAAATTCATTTCATTAATTAATAAATCATAAAATAAAATGACAAAGTACATTGATGAATTTCCTCTCCGCGAAATGAAAAGAATGTGGATTTTGTAAATCTATTTTTAATTTACAGGGTGTCTCAGTTCTTAATGGACGAACTGTGGGGGGTGGGAGGTGATTTTAGACAAAATTTTCAAGAAAAAAGTTCATTTGATGCATAGGCCGAGTTCGAATAGAAAAGGAGTTAAGACTAATTTTGTGTTTTTCTTAAGTTGGTTGTTTTTTATTGCTCATAAATTGTTCAATATAATTAAATTCTAATTACGCCATCATAAAGTAAACAAAATATTTTTGAGAAAACAGAAAAATCTAAAGTATAATAATATAAGAAATTGATGCAAATAAAAGAAACAATTACCAGAGAAAAAATTAAATAAGAATTTTTGTTTCTTTATTCTGACTAACAATTAAAATCTGATATGGACATACTGTTGCTCAACCACTGTTATCATAGTCAGCTTCCCAATAGCAGTAAACTTTAAATAATATTTATATACTTTTTTCAGTATTTGGGAACATGGTACGAAGCAGAGAGGTACTTCACTGTACTTGAAGCTGGGAGCCGTTGTGCTAGGACGAATTACACAAAGGCAGCCGGTGGCATAATCCTGGTGACTAATGAAATCACCAACAGGCTGTAAGTTGAATTATCGAAATCTCATTTAATTCAAATTTTTTGGTTCATTTTTTTTTTAATTTAAAGGAATATTTAGAAAAATTAATTAGCATTAGCTTAAAAAAAAATTAATTATGAAGCTTATAATTTATTCTTTATTATCGTAGAACTGGTATCAAACGAGTGCTTGATGGAGAGATAAGAAACATTCCGAAAGGTGGTGTGGAATCGAAAATCAGTGTAAAATACACAACTCTGCCATGTAAGTTGGAACATTTTTTTAAATGCAGTAGATTCGATATTTTAATAATTGAAAACATAACTATTTTATATCTGACTAAATTTCGGCAACTAGACTTTCTTAAAATGGTATTTTAATAGTCAGAAATCAAATATCATTATTTTGTTAACATTTTTGGTGATTTTTACCATCTTTACAACCTATTATTAACAACATACAGCAGTAGACTCATTTCGTAGAAATTACATATTCTATCTTTAGTTATATCAATTCTTAAAAAAATTAAGTAGTATTCTGTTATATTGGTAAAGGTTTGTCGCACTGATGTTCTCTCCCTCTTTTTTTTTTTTTTTTATTATTTTTTTATGTTTTAATAACATGACAAAACATGGAAATTATTATTATTTTGGAAAAAGGAGTCTGTAATGGGATATTGTTAATAAGAGGTTCTGAAGACGGGGAAACTTCCCCAACATGTTAACATCTAAATGACAATTGGTTTTTGACAAATAAAATAAAATTTTAAGGAAGTATAGTTATTAAAATTTAATCAAATATAAATGTAGCTTCATAACAAAAATGGACATATGTCATTTTCAGAAAGTGGACAAAAAGCCAATTTTTGTTTTATATGTTCAATCCAAATTTTTCTGATGATTTTATTTAAGAATGATCAAGTTAAATTATGAAAAAGAATCTTTAGAAATGGTTTCAATTGGAGATATGTTACAAAACTAGGCTTTTTCCCTATTTTTAAATATAATTAATCTGAAGCCGCTCATATATAAAAAGTCTTCCCAGAAAATTCAAAAGATTTAATTATTTTATACCATACCAGCTAGCCTATATCATATTGTTAAAGTGATGTTTCCATGATTAATGTTTTCACAACATGTACTTATCTAACAAATCTATAAATTTGTAAAAATGGTATTAATGAATTCGGTCTTTTAGTTGCCGTTTCGATTAGTAATTTTGCCACAAGATGGAACTTGGAATACTATGGTAAACAAAGGAAATTGAAAATGTGAATTTTTACATTTGTTACTTTAACATGATGCCGATGATTTGAGCAACAAATATTTCTCGACCTTGTAGATAAACTGCACTATATAATTTAAATAAAATTTTCAGTCATTGATTTTGAATGTAATGTTTTAAATCATAAATCGTTTAATACTTCATACTATATTATATTTCTACAAGCAAAGCAATCAGAACAAATTTTATAAACTAAATTTATGCAATTAAGTCAAATGTTTGAACACCCATTAAATAACCCAATTTTCTTGCCTAATTTATTTCTTATTTGGATTAAAATAGTGAAATTTATTGGTTATATTGTATTTTTGGGCTGCATTATTTTATTCATATTGTTCAAGAGACATTTGACATCATTACATATTTAAGACTTAAAAATGTAAATATTATGTCTTTTTAGATGTGCCTGAACATGCTGTTCGAGGCCAAAATGTGGCATATTAAATGTAAATAAAATTAAAATCAATGATTTAATCAGTCTAGATAATTACAATATTTAAAAAAAAAATTATTTAAACTTAAAATAAAATAAATTTTCTACTACAGCCAAACCTAAACGCACATTTAGGAGTTAAACATACTATACCACCCCTTAATAATGAATATAAAATCCATAATAATTTAGATAATTAGATATTTATATTAATTATCCTACCAATCTATACCAAAAAGTAGACCTTTGTAATAAAATAAAGAAAAATTGTCTTAATAGTTAATTTTTAAGAATAATTTCTGAAGATCTCTAAACATTTATTTATAGATTTATCTGTTATAGTCCCAATGGAAACCGAGTATATTATTCTGGACACTGATTACGACTCCTACTCAGTCGTATGGTCTTGCTCTGGACTGGGAATCCTCAACACGCGTAAGTTTGAATTAATACATTAATATATTGTAATATCTATTGATACATGAATATTATGAAAGTATTAACTAACAGATGATAAATAGACCCGATTGTATTATTATAGAATCAGCTTGGCTGATGACAAGGGAGCGACTGCCTCCTGGAACTGTACTCCAGAAAGCTTACGCAGTACTGGATAAGCACAAGATCTCCAGAACGTTCTTTGTCAGGGCTGAACAAGAGGAGTGTAACATTGGTGAGGCAGCTCCTGCAGAAACAACAGGTAGGAGATTTTTTAATTTATACCGATCAAGCTAAATATGTTTTGTTTATTTTATAATAATTTATTTATATTTTTAGTAATAGGTTGGTATTATTTTTTTTTTTTTTTGTAATAACTCCTATTACTAGCGGATTCAATAGAAGTCTTTCAGGCTGAAGGCACCGCATCCCTGCCCAAAAAAAAAATAAGAAAATCATTTTTTTTTTCATTAGTCGAAATTTTTTCTATGAGTACTACTATACTGAATTAAAGCCTTAGATTATAAATGAATTTGTTAATTTATAAATTATTGAGATATTAATTTTTTGTTGACTAGTTTTTAAAATTATATAAAGAAAGTGCCTTTATTTTTATAATCAGTTTTTTCTTCTCCAAAATTTTGAAGAGAGAAAAATACTTTACTGAAAGTCGTGCTGCCCTAATATATAAAATTGCTTTTTACACATCATACTGATCAAACCATATGGACATAGCTCTTGCATCATATTATTTCATTATTATACAAACATATTATTTTTTTTTTTTGTTATCTTTTTCACAACATTAGTCCATATACCATATCATTAAAAATACCACATTAAACAATTACCATTATGCAATACATATACGTTATGGAAAAAAAAAAAGCATTCGAATGCTAGAAATAACACACTTGTATAAACGCAATTCCTTGAATATAGACTAAAAGATAAGACAAAGTTAAAAAATTTAAATTAAATAAATAAATAGATAAATGACAAAGGACATTCTAGATTCACAGTCAATTGCTATACAAGTGATAGATTGATAGACTGATACAAGTGATCCCTCCAGAATAATATTCTCGGCCAATATCGCAAGCTCCCCAACCTGCATTTTATAAATAATTTTTTTAGAAATAAGTTGTTTATATTTTTCGCTATTTTACATTGGTAGGTGACATGATTATTAACAAAAAACATAAATAAATTATAAAAACATTATCATTAACTGAAAAAAGGAATAGACTATGAAATTTATTTGAAAAAACAATAAAAAATTTCGGTATATGTAATTTTTCTTAAATGATATCCAACAAAAACTCAATATTATTTCATTTCAGCCACACAAACCAGAGCAGCAGATCCTGAACCGAAACCCGAAGCTAAACCTGAAGCAAAACCGGAACCAGAACCAGCTCCTCAACCAGAGCCAAGCAGCACAGAGGCTGCGGTCACGGTCTCCAACTCCATTCCTTCATCTGAACCCGAACCACAACCGAGCCAACCAGTAGCAGTAGAACAGCCAGCACCCGTCGAACCAGAAAAGAGGCCATCTCCTGCCGTTTCTGCACCAACCCCAGTCCCCGAGTCTTCGAGTTAAATCGCATTCTATGAATGTCAATGAATTACAAGCTTTAAATATTTAAGAATTAGTTTGTATTTAATTTAAGTCGTTACAATCAAAGTGATAATAAATAGGCCCTATTGTGTATTTTTAAGGGTTTCTTTTGTTATAGTTCTCGGATTAGTATGAGATTATATTCTAGACCGTGTGCTTCCAGTATTCTTATTTTCAAGAAGTGTGACTTAATATGTCTTTAAGTTATGTTTTTACTGTATTTATTTTAATAATTCTGTAACTTTGAAATAAAGTGTCCATATTGAGTACAAATATTCAGTTGTCTGTTTTGAACGAAATCCTTTGATAATAACAAATAAATTTATAATTAACTGTTCATAACAGAGGATAAGTTATGCTTATTCATAAATGAAAGTTATGCTATTTTTCTAGATAGAATAAAAAGCATCTTAGTTGCATGGTCTTGGACTCAGTACTTTGTGAGCAAGTATTGTTTCAAGGCCAACGGTTGTACAGGGAGGTGATTTGGCCAAAATCATGCTCAACCAATAGGCTTTTCTCTTATTTAATTAATTACTTAAGAGTGCCCACTTTATACAGGGTCTTTCAGTTCTTAATGGCCAAACTCTGAGGGGTAATTCTAGACAAAATAAGTACATTTGAAGCATGGGGCTATTCCGATTGGAAAAGGAGTTATTACCCATTTTGTGTTGTTTTTTTAAGGTGGTCATGGTTTTTATTGGATAAGAAAGAATTGCTCAAAAACTTTTAGTACACTATCGAAAAAGAAGAAAATTATTTTTTTGAGAAAAGACTGATTAAATTTACTAAGGTCAATGATAAATGTGAGAACGTCAGGAAGTCTAATAACACAAAGTCTACCATTTTGCTGAATTATTTCACGAATCGAGATTATAGAGATAAACTAATCGGGTATGGGTAATGTGACTGCAGCAGTACAACAGCTGTTTTAGAACTCCTGAAAGTCCTCTTTATCATTAGTAAATTTAATCACTCTGTTCTAAAAAAAAATGTTGTCTATATTAGGATTGTTTAATTTACTAAGCCAATCCCTTCCACGGCTGTCAGGGCCGTATTATTATTATTGACATAATAATTCTGCTGTAATAGCTGGTAATAATTTATTGGTGTGGACTGTAAAGTAAAGAACTGTCTATAGTTTGTATTTAGAATTAAAGTAATATCCTTTAGTTTTATTAACTTTTTAAAAACATTAATTTTACTGAAATTAATCTGTTAGGTGAAAGCTTTGTGATTTATTTATAATTTGATGAAGTGTCAAGAAATCTTTTGCATTTTGAAAGTAGCAGTTATTTATTTTTTATTTATCAAAGACATAAAAGTTCTGAGCTGCCATACTAGGAAACATTTATCAGTTATGAAGAATAAGTCAGCATGTTTTGTTGTTTTCTTCATTGTAATTGATGACGCTTTTTTATACAAAAATATTAAAGTTTTAATAAGCTTTTGCTCATGTCTCATGACTGTGTAATACATCTTTTAATATATTTCACAGTTGGACAAATCATTACTTTGGAATATTACCAGATTTATAATTTTTAACCTATGCTAACTAAGAGCACTTAATTTGTGAGGATTCTGTAAGCAGATTCTGTAAGCAGGTCTAAAAAAGTGAAGATGTAAAACTGATTGCTTTATTTTATAATTTTTAATTTTATATAGGGGTTAAATATCGATGGGTTGAGATACTTGCATTTTTCTTTTCTTCTATTTGCCAGTCTTCTTGTTCACCTTGCCAGCTGCTGTAGTTTTTTACTCCATGTCTACCAAATCAGTGGAATAACGAATTTTCTAACTGGTCAGTCTAGTGAATCTACGCTTCAGTCATGGCGGACAGCTCCATAAAATTAAATTTAAATGGGAAATTTGCTATATTCCTTAAACAAGGATGGTGCACTTAGAATTTAATTATCCTGAATAGTTTTCGAGCGATTCCTTCTCACAAAACTGGCCATAACTCCTTTTTCATTTGGAATCGCAACATGCATCAAATGAACTTTTTTGTTGAATCACTTCTCCGCACCCACTAGAGTTTGGCCATTAGTGACTGAGACACCCTAGATACTGAGTTGTGCCACAGGAGGGTTTCCGGTCCCCAGGGTCGATCCACAGCCCATGTAACAGAATAAATAATTACCTGCCTTAGCTGGATTCAAACCCGTAACTTATAGCATAAGAATAGAGTGCCTTACTTACAGAGCTATTCCACTCCAGTTATTTAGTATGAAATAGACAAATTTAAATCAAATTAATATGCTTACAGAATCCGCACAAGTTAAGTGCTCTTAGTTATCATAAGTTAAAAATTATAAATCTGGTAATATTCCAAAGTAATGATTTGTCCAACTGTGAGATATATTAAGAGACTTATAACACAGTCATGAGACATGAGCAAAAGCTTATTAAAACTTTCATATTTTCGGATAAAAAAACATCAATTACAATGAAGAAAACAACAAACTATGCTGACTTATTCTTCATAACTGATAAATGTTTCCTAGTATGGCAGCTCAGAACTTTTATGTTTTCGATAAATAAAAAAAAAATAACTGATACTTTCAAAATGCAAAAGATTTCTTGACGTTTCATTAAATTATTTTTTTTTAAATCTGGTGCAATAAATCACAAAGCTTTCACCTAAAAGATTAATTTCAGTAAAATTTCTGTTTTTAAAAAGTTAATAAACCTAAAGAATATTACTTTAATTATAAATACAAGCTAGAGACAGTTTTCAATCTATTTTCTTTGTGAATTCCATTAAGTTCCTGCAGACATGTTTATTTCCCATGCAATAATATAACAGAAAAAATTATTAACTTTAGTAATTGAAATTCATTAGCTTTTTTTCACTCTCTATTATCTTCAACAATTTTATAAGTTAGATATTCATATACCATACATCTATTTCACAACTCTAATTTCTGCAAATTTGTTTTCAACCAGTGAAAATATTTCTCCCAATTTCTATTTCACTAAATTATCATATTCTTTCATAGGTTATATTTATCAATTTTGTACTTCTACTAATAATGAGATATCTTTGAATGTTTATTTCGAATAAATAAATTTAAATATAATTTAAGCCAAAAAATTTGGCTTATTAGACTATTTAAATGAGGTTAAAACCAACCTGATATTAAACACTATTTAGTTTTACATTATCGGGATATCGATATCGGGATTACGATATCGGGAGTTTTGTTAAAATTATTAGAGCTGTTTTTGAGAAAATTGTAAAAATATGTAAAATCAATTATATAATGTGCCATTTCCTATATATTATATAGTGTAGCTTAAATATATAATTTCAGTTTTGTATGAGTTTGACATAATTTTTTTGAGCTTTACTGTTTGAATATACCCAGATATTTTTTTCGAGACAAGGTTATTTGGAACTTCAAATATGTATTTACGTTGAAAACACAGATTCAACATTTCTCACTATAGTAATACTTTTCCTTTCTACTATTGCAATATATGGATAAGTGAAATTAATTATAGTAAAATAATACATAAAAAAACGAATATTCTGTAATAAATTTAAAATAGTTAATTTTAATGGATGCCAAATCTTAAAATAAATATTGTATTATAGTTAAATTATTACAGAATCTATATGAAATTCTTAATGTATTGTATTCATTTATTAATATGAAAAATTAATAATTCAGTATGAGTAAAAGATGAATGGCAAGAACTATTTCTTAAATGATATTTTACCTTTGATACTCCATAAATAATGATTCGTAAACATGCATTATTATTGATTGTATATGTCCATACCTGAAGTAATCTGAAACAGACCAAAATTTCTTATATTAATATTAAGAATAGCAATTTATAACTGTTGCTCAGTAAAAATCAATAAGAGTAGTTTAAAAATAGGATTATGTGTAATAAAGAGATCCTATAAGTAAGTATCATATTGTAATTGACAACTTTCTTAATGCTATCTTATTTTCAGAAAATACTAGTAGAGAAAATTATTATTATCTTTAAAGTAACCATCCAGTATTATAACTAGCACATTGATATTTCATATTGTGGAAAAACTAAGCTGAACAAATGAATAATGAAGAAGAGTTAAAATAATTCTACCAGTAGCAGTTCTGTTATTGTATTTGATATTTTATATGAGTAACTAAATTCAAGTATATCACAACATACTTGAAGGTAGTTCTCTAGATCAAAAGGTAGTTCTTTGATATTTTACATAAAAATCAGTTAGTTGCTGAAGGGCAGTTAGGAAATTAAGATGGGAAAGGATATATATACTAAAATAACCTGGAAATCGAGAAAGGTAAACAAAAATATCCTAAAATAGGAACAAAAACTATCAAGACACAATCACAGAGAAGAATAAGCCTATTATGCACAGAAATATTTAAAAAAAAAAACTATCAAGTATATTTAAGCCAAGAAAACCACATCAGTGCAAAATAAAAATAAATAATAACATCAGAGAAGATTAGCCAATTGTAAGAATATCTAAACCACATCGGGCCAATTTTTCATAATTTTAAGTTTCAATATTAATTTATTTCTAATTTTGAAAATTTATCATTTGATTTTAAGGCTTAAGAACATAGAAAGAAAAAAAGCTTATTTAAAAGAAATATTCAATTTGATAAAGAAATATAGGGATTATGAGATCCTCCTAGGGCACACCCATACTCTATAAAGTGGGTAATCATAATTAAATAATTAATTAAGGGGAAAACTTGAGGGCGATCTCGGTCAGATCACCTCCTTCCACATCTGTTGAAAAATAACAGTACTTCCTCATGAAGTACTGAATCCATGTGATTAAAAAAAAAGGTTTTTTTTTCCATTATTCATTTAATTCAAAGGCATTGAACATATCATGTAGTGGCTAAAAACAGTATAGACATAACTGACTTTGTTATCTTTAAAATATTAAAACAAATGTTTGAAGTTATATAGTATAAAAAATAATCCAAAATTATTCTGATTATATTAATAAATAATCCTTTATAGATCTTTTTTGACCACCAGAGCGAAAAACTTTAAAAATTTAAAAAATAAAACAATATGAACATTGATGGGTTCTAAAATAAAAAAGAATAGATACTTTGTAAATTAATAAATTTTGACTCAATTAGGTTATTAAGTTATTAAGAAATC